AAAAAAAAAAAAAAGAAGTCTGTAAGAAGTACTTCCTTATCATTCATTAAAACAAGGCCATAGGTTTTTCTTTTAGTGTGCATTATTATAAAGGTATTTTAAAAAGTGATCCTGCTTAGTGTTCTGCAGAAATAGTTTACAATGCTATTTCAGTTTTACTTTTTTTTGTTTTTCAGTTTTACTTTTGAAATCTATCAGTCTTTTCATTTATATCCCTTGTTACTTTTTGCCAGACTCTTTTATTTGGTTTTGCTACTGCTATCTTCCCCTTCTATAAATCTATCTAGTATATTATATTTCAGGATATGTCAATTAAAGCATAATTGTGATTATGTATCTACTCATAAACCTTTTTTATTGGTTTTAAATTCTAAGTATAAACTCATTACTCCTTTTTTTTTTTTGGCGGAACTGGGGATTGAACTCAGGCCTTGCACTTGGCAGGCAGACGCTACTCCTTTGTTTTTCATTGTAATCTGCTGTAATTAGATTCTGAGTTCAAGTTCCTAAAGCACCATTTTCTACTGTAGATTAACACAACCAGCCACTTTTTTTATTTTGAGCATTGTCAACTTCTTGCAGCAAAGCTTGTTCTCAGCTTGAAAGCCTTTTCCTTCAGTGTTTCCTAATAGCTTCAGCCAGAAATCATTCTCTTTTTATAATTCTTTTCTCTTAGCCCTTTTTATGTTAACCATTAAGATTTAAAAATATCTTGTGTAAAAGTTAAAGTGCATATATTCTCTATATATGACTTAAGAATCAACATTTTTGAAAATGTGCATGTATTATGGTGTTAAAGGTACTAAACCATTTAAATAAGTGAAAAACTTCGATACATTGTTCTCAAAAGATATTTGGAGAAAAAAAGATAATTGATTAAGAATTTTTAGTAGACTAGGTATGTTGGTATACTCCTGTAATCCCAGCAGTTGGTAGGCTGAGGCAGGAGGGTCACTGTGAGTACAAGGTCAGCCTGGGCTACAAAACCAGCTTGAATTATGTAGTGAGACCTTATCTCAAAAAAAAGAAAAAAAGGATTTTCTAATAGAGCAAATTTTATATATATATAAAACAAAGAATGTATGTATATGTATATATATGTATACATATATATACTACATCTAGTTTTTAAAAATTTCTTATAGTTGTATTTGTTTTATACTTAGTATTTTTTCCCATTCCTTTCAGAAGCAAAATCTGATTTTGTTTATGGTTCTTTATGCTCCTGAGAAATAATATTAGCTACAGTGATAATTATAGAATACTTAATGATGAACCACAGGATTCAGCATTGTTATCTAAACTGTCTTAATCTCAGACTTAGTAAATATGAAACTGAAGAAAATTGATGAGTAAAATGTGATATTAAGGGCCAGGGATGTAGCTCGGTGGCACAGTGCCTGCTTGGCAAGTGCAAGGTCCTGAGTTCTGTTCTCAGTGCCAAAAAAAAAAAAAAAGTGATATTAAGAAATCCACTTTCTTACCATTTTCACTATATGTAAAACATTGTTATAGAATGAATTAATAATTTAAAATATAATTATTTATTTGTTCCCAGAACCTACCTTCTGGATCATCACGTGTTGGAGCCATTAAACTTACCTACATTTCAAAGGTAATTATTATACATTGACTTACTTTCACTTGTGATTTAAAATTGCCTGCTCCCTCAGTGGAAGCATGAACAGAAGCAGCAGCTAGCAGCTTCCTGTAACATTTAATGATGTTTAGGTTCACATCATGCTAAAAGTTATGGTTAGGAAGTTTCTTAAATGGATAAAATTGGGAAGAATATGAATTTAACTTACAGAATGTGGGACGTTACAAAGCCTAATACTAACTAATGATCAGATCATAAACATCAGAAAGAAATTAATTTATTTTATTTATTTATTTTTTTGGTGGAACCGGGGATTGAACTCAGGTCCTTGCGCTTGCCAGGGAAGCGCTTATTCCACTGAGCCATCTCCCTGGCCCCAGAAAGAGATTAATTTATAGTAGACTATATCTTGAGGAGGCCTGAAGATTTTTCTAAGTATGTATTAAACTTTTTTAGACATTTTCTAACTGTTAAGTCCCATTATTTTTGGAGTTTTTCTTTATATTTTAAGGAAAATGGACCATGTTCTGTAAGGCTCATCTTCATGCTCTTTTTACTTTGTGTTACTGCTTTTCTGTATTTTATATTATTTCTCTTATTTTTAGAAATTCAGATTTTATATTGGTCATAGCTTGACTCAAAAGATGAGATGCAAAAATAGAAACAAGTGCTTTTTTTTTTGTGTGTGTGTGTGTTTTAGGGAAGGGTGTTCAGGGTCTCACTACTAGATCAGATTCATAGTGATCCACCTGTTTACAGCCTCTGAAGACCTGGGATTACAGGTGCGCACCACCACGCCCAGTCTCAGTTGTTGTCGCATCACCCCCAGTGGTAGGGCCAGCATGGCGGGCCTGGGAATTGACCAGAACAAGTGCTCTCAAGTAATGTGCACTGTGAATACATATGTTGCATTACATTGCTAAGAATCACTGCAACAGAATGCCAATTTCCAAATGCGCCTCTATTTAGAAGATACATATTTTTATAAATACTTTGTTATCAGAATTATGGTTATTCATTCTCTGACAAAATATCTATAATCTATAGGACAGTAAAGAGTACATACTTAAAATGAAATATTTTCTTTTTTTTTTTTTTTTTCGGCGGAACCGGGGATTGAACTCAGGCCCTTGTGCTTGCCAAGCAAGCACTTACTCTACTGAGCTATCTCCCCAGCCCCAAATATTTTCTGTTAAAGCCATATTATATGAATTTGTAAAGAAATATTACATATGTCATGTGCCTGTTAATTAAGACACTTAATTCTTCAGCGTAGCTTGCAGCCTCAATTTTATAGAGATTATTAGGGGAAAAGGTATAATTCCATTATAGAATAAACTGCATTTCTATTTTACTTCATTGCTTATATATGCCACTGTTTTTTTCTTCCTAAGCATTTTCTACTCTCAACAAAGTGGTGCAGAAAGCTATAGGACAGTTGAAAGTGAGATTACCCATCTGTCTGTGTCTGGCTTTTTTTTTTTTTTTGGGTCTTTTGGAGACAGGTTCTCATCATGCAATTGAGGCTGACCTTGAACTCACTTTGTAACCCATGCTTGAACTAGCAACATTCTTCTGCCTCAGCCTCCTGAGTGCTGCGGTTATAGGTGTGTGCCACCACACCTGGCTGTCTTTGTTGCATAATCTTTTTGAAAATAGGAGCTTTTTCTCAAAGAATTAACTCAGTGAAGCAGGCACAGACTGGTCAGGTGCTTGTCTTCCACCACTGGTCCCTTTCAAAATATTGTGCATCCTCTTCTCTGTAGTGCTATTGACTTCCATCTCTGTCCTACAGCATACAGATGGAGTTGTAGTTTGTACTCTACTTTAGACATTCTAGGGTTTTTTTTTTTTTACCCCTCCCAGAATTTACAAATTTCAGTGTGACTCAGTTGTAAATTTGTAGTGGAGACCAGTTGAGAACTCTAGACTTAGTGTCCCTTTTGGAGGTAAACAAGTGCCACAATTATGAGTTATACACAGGGCAACAATGTAGTAATAGCCAGAAATGAGTTTCTAAGAGCTCTGTATTTAAAGAGATAGCAGTAAGCAGGTACAGCAAATTGCTTCACCTTTCTTTTTTTTTTTTTTTACGGGTACCAGGGATTAAACTCAGGATTGAATTTTCTTCACTTTTTGAAATGAATCTTGTGCTGCACTTAGTAAAATGATCCATGGGGTAGTCTTTTGTAATAAGAATGTTTTAAAGTTTAGTGTCCCAATGATCATATAGATACATACATGTAGGCATTTATACAGTATTTAAGTTTAGTAGCATATAAAAAATTGAGCAGTTCATTTCTTTTTTTTTGTTAGGTTAGCGATGCAACGAAGCTAAGGCCAAAAGCTGAGTTCTGTTTTGGTAAGTATATATTTTTATGGGAACTGTTATTTTTTTATTTTGAACATATTTTCTTTATAATTCCTTGTTGGGTTTTCTTTTTTTTTTAAATTTTATTTATTTATTTTTTTTGGTGTGTGGCCAGCTCAGCCCACCAGGGGGCGGGTCTGGCTGGCATGTGGTGCTGGGGGATTGAACCACAGTCCCTGTGCTTTGCTAAGCTTGTTCTAAGTAGGTGCTTTAGACCACTGGGCCATCTCACCAGCCCGCTTGTTGGGTTTTCTTTTCCATTCTCAACCCTGAATGTAGATACTTCCTAAGACTTAGACTTTTAGTCTTGGCTCTTACTTATTTTCCTATTGAAACTTAATTTGCCACTGTTAAAAGTTCTAAGTTGGTAATTTTATCAGTCCTGCTTCTCCATTAGCTTTGTGGTATGTTATTGTTTGGTGGTCATATAGGCATAGTTTATATAAATTCGATCTTACTAATGAGTCCTAAAACTGGTTTCCTGCTTTTTTTTTCTGATTTTCATATTATAATTACTGCATTTAATAAATGCTAACATGCTATTAGATTATTATTATTTGTACCACTGAAAAAGAAAAAATAATTGTAAAAAGTTACCATTATGGATACTAGGCATGGTGGTACACACCTGTAATACCAGTGCTGGGGAGGCTGAGACAGGAGGATCACTAGGAGTCTGAGCTGTGTAGCAAGACCCTGTACCAAATAAGTAAATAAAAAGATTACCATTATGATAGCTATTTTAAATTAGACTGATAAAGTATAGCTTAATGATTTATTCTAAGACAGATTTCTTGCTACTGCTATGCAGATAATAAAACATTTTTCTGCATTTTCAAGCAGAAAGCCTCGCTCCTATGTCCCACCTTATTCACAGCATAACCGAGTGTTCAATTCCATACATGCTATGCTCTTTTCTGCGTCATTCCACACAAGTAGTCCTCCCATCTTTCCTCCCAAGTGGTAAAGGGTAGCCAGGTATTTACATGGATTCCAAGTCTCTTGAGTCTCCCCCTCCACTCTGGAGTTCCCCCATTAGGGTGAGATGCTCTTTCATGATGCTTCTCATCTCTGCCTACTAATCATGTAAATATAATCGTAACCTGACAACCGTATGTCTATGAAAAGGCTTTTGATATCCTTAAGGGCAGCAACTGCCCTTTACTAACTTCATTGTTCCAGTGTAAGCATAGTATCTGAAAGGCATTAGGCCTTCACTAAATATTTGTTCAACAGGATAATATAATGCCTTATCTATTCCTGCCTCCAAATTGTAAATTTCTCATTACTCACAAGCTAAGAACCAAATCCTTGTATTTATATTTAATATGGAATAATGCAAAGTTTGATGATCAATTTTAATATGATTAAAATAAATTTTTTCTAGACATGTTCTAGTGGTAGTGATTGAGGGCTGGATAGAACTCCAAAGTCAAGAGTGGATAGATTGGAAGTATCTTAATGAGTGATAGCTGACTACCTTTTCAGAGAGGATGTTAATAGACAACAATGTCAGAAGAGACAGAAATTTTGCATTGAATCATAAAAGTTACTTTCTGAAGCAGAATAAATGCTAAAGTCTTTGCTGTCTTTTGCTTGTAAGAAACAACTTTCATGGCAAGCAATGTGCTAAAAGTTTCGTCTGATGACAAACATACGAGGTGTAGTAAAAAATACAGTGAATGTAAAAAATTTTCTAAAATTATTACAGTAAAGGACAATCCCCCTCAAAATGCTGTTCTCTTTGAATATGCTTATCATTTCCTCCTTACATTTTCTGAAGCATTTCTGGAATTGCATCTTTAGTTGTGCTGAGTGGCTGCCTTGATTTCCTGAACTGTCTCAAAACATTTACCTTTTATGGTCATTTTCACTTTGGGGAAGAGGCAGAAGTCTCATGTTAGATGAGCTGAGTAAGGTAGATAAGGACACAGTGTAATATTTCACTTGACACAAGTTGCTGTAAAGGTAAATCAATGTCAGGTGATCAAAAATACTGTAGATGTTGAGATTAGAATTTTATTAAAGCCAGGTAAGGTGTTGCATACCTGTAATCCCAGCACTTGGGAGGCTGAGGCAGGAGGATTACTGTGAGTTTGAGACCATGTGGGTTGCAAACTGAGTTCAAAGCCAACCTGAACTGCATGGTGAAACCCTGTCCCCAAAAGACAGACAGACAGACAGAGAGACAGACAGACAGACACACACACACACACACACACACACACACACATTTATTATAGTAAAAGCTTCTCTACTACTCAAAATCTTGCTTTTGTTTCAAACACATTGAATACATTATTCTTGGCAGTGTGTCTTTTACTATCATAAGTTTTTGTAAAAGTTACGTGTCTTAGTTACTCTTCTCTTGTTGCTGGGACAAATACCCGACACTCAAAATGAAGGAAGGAAAGGATTATTTAGCTCACAGTTACTGGAGGTTTCAGTCCATACTCAGCTGGGTCCAACGCAGAGGAGCACACAGCAGAGAGCAACCTTTCATGGCGGCGGCAAAGAGCAAGAGTGCAAGGGAGGGGTAGCAGCAGCTCAAGCAGCTAGCTTCTCTTCCCACCTTACATTGTAATGCAAATTACCTGCCCCAGGGTAGGGGAAGTACACCTATGGGTACTTCCCAGTATTTACCCACCTATGGGTAATCCCAGCAGTACTAAAACCCATAATCCCAGCCTTGGATCACACGTAATCCCAGTGGATCATGAGTTAACACAAACTCTACAAGTCCTCACCCCATGACTGCATGAGGCTTTGGGGGGACAACTAGACACAAACCATAACATTACACATTTATTGTATCTTTCAATTGTTCCATATATGTATCCAGAAATGAAATATAAGAGCAGGATAAAAGATCTCCATGTTCATAGATCAGCAGAATTAACATTGTTACAGTGGCCATATTACCAAAAGGAATCTACAGATCTAGTGTCACACCTGTCAGAATCTGACAATAGTAGGGCTGGTGAGATAGCTTGGCGGACTAAGTGCCTGCTTAGGCAAGCACAGGGGCCACAGTTCAATCCCTGACGCCATATGCTGCAGGAAAGCTGAAAACAGGAGGATCACTGCAAGTCCAAGCTGCTGTGTCGTGAGACCCTATACCAAACACGTTAAAAAAAAAAATACTGACAGCACTGCCGGCCTGATGGTACCTGGTGGGCTGAGATGGGAAGAGGCCACCCTGAACTACATAGACCTAGAGAGACCCTGTCTCTTTTTTTTTTTTTTGGCAGAACCAGGGATTGAACTCAGGCCCTTGCGCTTGCCAGGGAAGTGCTTATTCCACTGAGCCATGTCCCCGGCTCTGAGACCCTGTCTCAAAACAAATAAACTAAAACATCCAACAACATTCTTCAAAGAACTAGGTAGAGCAATTCTAAAACTCATGTGGAAGCACAAAAGATCCAGAATAGCCGAAGTGATCCTGAGCAAAGAGAATGGTGCTGGAGATACCATAATACCTGTTTTCACAGTATGTGCAAGTTCATAATAATAAAAACAGCAAGGTACTGGCTTAATAGATATATGGCAAATGGATAGACTAGAAAAGCCAGCAAACAAAGCAACAAAAACTGCTAACAGCTATCTGATTCTTAACAAAGATGCTAAAAGAAAGATAGTCTCTTTCAGCACAAATGGTGCTGAGAAAACTGGATATCTACATGCAGAAGACTGATAGTGCATTTTCGTCTCTCAGTGCTGTACAGAACTAAAATTGTTTTTTTTTTTTTTTTTTTTTTTTTTTTTTTTTTGTGGAACCAGGGATTAAACTCAGGCCCTTGTGCTTGCCAGGCAAGCGCTTATTCTACTGAGCCATCTCCCCGGCCCCACAGAACTAAATTTAAAATGGATTGAAGGTCCAAATATAAAACCTGAAACTTTGAAACTGCTAGAAAAAAGCATAGAGGAAACACTTCAAGATCTAGGCATAGGGGGGCTGGGGAGGTGGCTCAGTGGATAAGCGCTTCCCTGGCAAGCTCAAGGGCCTGAGTTCAATCCCCGGTTCTGCAAAAAAAAAAAAAAAAAAAAGATCTAGGCATAGCCAGTGACTTCCTTAACAGTGCTCCAGTAGCACAAGAAATAACAGGAATAATTATCAAGTGAGATTATATCAGATTAAAAAGCCACACAGCAGAGGACACACCAGTGCAGTGTCAGTCTACAGAATGGGAGAAAATCTTAACCAACCACTTTTCTTATATAGGATTAATATGTAGAATATATAAAGAACTCAAAAAACACCACAAAATCAAATAACCCAGTCAGTAAATAGGCAAATGAACCAAATCACACTTCTCAGCAAAGTAATTATAGACGGTCAGAAAGTATGTGAAAAATTTCGTTATGTTTTACTATCAAGGAAATGCCAATGAAAGTTTCATTGAGATTCTGTCTCATCCTAGTCAGAATGTCTATCAATAAGAATACAAAAACAGCAAATGCTGGTGAGGATATGGGAAAAGGAACCCTTATATACTGTTTATGGGAGTATAAATTAGTACAGCCCCCATGGGAATCTCAGACAACTGAAAGTAGAGCTTTCATTGATCCAGATGTACCGTTCTTAGATACATTCCTGAAAGAATTAAAGTCAGCTTATTGTAGAGATACTTACATACTGGTGTTGTGGCAGAATTCACAATAGATAAATTATGAAAACAGCCTGTCAGCTGATAAATAGATAAAGAACATGTAGGTACACAATGGTACATTATTTGGCCATAAAGAAGAATGAAATCATGTCAAGCCAAATAAACCAGACAGATAAAATACCTCATATTTTCTGTCATGTGTGAAATAAAAGGACAACAGGAAAGCATAAGGGACACAATTATAGAGAAGAAGAAAGCTATGAAGGAGGGAGGGGAAGGTAGTAGGAGTAATGAGAGAAATGATGAAAGTATATTTATACATTTATAATCAAGCTAAGATGAAAACTATTCATATTATATGTATTAATGTTTTAAAAAAGAATTGAGAAAACTGACAATATGAAAAAATGTCTCATCACCAAGACTTATAACTATATTTGGGTGATAATTAGTCCTAGATTGTGAGGTGATGTTTGTTTATAGTTGAGGTTATATTTGTGCTTTAGGGTTTTTTTTTTTTTTTTTTTGCGGAACTGGGGATTGAACTCAGGCCCTTGCACTTACCAGGGAAGCGCCTGTTCCACTGAGCCATCTCCCCAGCCCCTTGTGCTTTAGTTTTTATGCATTTATTTACTCTGATGGCCAGGATAGGAAATAGAATAAAAGAGTGCCCAAGTCAAAGCTAAAAGCACGTAAAACCTCTGGGGATGAATGTATTGCTCACAGTGCAACCCTTGCTTTTTTTTTTTTAATTTTAATTTTAATTTTATTGAGAAACAAATATGAATGAGATAGTTTCAAAGCTGATTAACAGGACAGTTTTGATAATCAATACATTATACATTGTTATCTTGTTAGTATTGTATATTGTTATCTTCTTAGTGCAACCCTTGCTTAAAAGAATGGCAACTGGTGGGGTCGTAGCTCTTTTTTTTCCCCCCCAAAGTTTATTTTTTCCTTTCCCTGTCTGCCCTCCTCCCCTAGATATTGCAAATGTACCGCCTTTCAATAATTTTCCTTATTTTCCACTATGTATGTATATTCCTTAGAAATCTCCAGAAGATGGTGATGGAAAAGAATATCTTGCCCTAAGCACTGTGGTAGTTTCTTTTAAAAATTTTAATTAATTAATTTTGCAATACTGGGGCTTGAACACATGGCCTTTATGCTGAGCTACAGCCTTAACCCTAATAACAGTGTTTTTAAAATTTTGAAATAGAGTCTTCCTAAATTGCCCAGATTGTTCTTGAACTTGGGATCCTCCTTCTTCAACCTTTTAAGATCACTAGAATTATAAATGTGTGGCACCATGCCCAACTTGTACTAATTCTTTTATAGAGCTCATTGTCACCCCTCAAGAAAGGAATGGATGGCACTCCCATTTCATATATGAGGAAAATAGGACATGAGAGATCAAATGATGTTTATTAGATGATGCTACTTGTAAGAGGATAAGATAACCTGGTCTGACTGATTCCCAGAACTGATTTTTTTCCATAGCACATCAGTATGCCCTTCTTACCCTGAAATGATAAAAGAATATGAGGTTTTTATTCAGACTGTGAGGGTGCCAAGAAGCTTTTCAGAGGTATACCGACCTCCCTTCCTCCATTTAACATGTGCTGTAAATATTATTCATTCGGAAATGTATTAAAAATTTATTTTCTGGAGCTGGGGCATAATGCCTCTTATAGCTCAGAGGCATAAGCACCTAACTGGCAAGCACAAGGTCCTGAGTTGGATCTCCAGCCCTGTATGCCCTGCAGGTGCCACAACTGTGTGTGATGTTGCAGACCTGTAATCCCAGCACTTGGGAGGCTGAGACAGGATCACTGTGAGCTTGTGACTGGCCTGAGGGCTACAAAAGTGAGCACAGGGCCAGCCCGAACTGCATAGTGAGACCCTAACTCAAAAAAGAAATAAAAGAAATAAAAAATTTAGGTCCCACATTCTGCACCGGCCCCGCCCCCCGGGGTGCGCTGAGCCATGACAGTTGGGGCATGGTGGCACATGCCTGTAATCCTAGCACTCAGGAGGCTGAAAACAGGAGGATCATGAGTCTGAGCTGCTCAATGAGATCCTGTACCAAACACATGAAAAAAATTTTTTTTTCTACCAAGTGTAATGTATTAATAAATGTGTAGATCTTTAAACTCTTCATTGTCCCGAGGAAATGTCCAGAACTACATTGAGAGAAGAAGCCATTATGAGGAGAGCTGAAAAAAGACTAAAAGCATACCATATTGATTGTCAGGAGTTAAAAGCAGAAGAATGTTATTGTCATACTGAATTGCTTTTTTTTTAAATTTTTTTTTGGTGTACCTAGCACTGGAATTACAGGTGTGTGCTACCACGCCCAGACCCTGTCACCACTCAGTATGCCTGGGGGTGGGGCCGGAGTGGGTTGTGCTGAATGTGGTGCTGGATATTAAACAGGTTCTTGCACTTGCCTAAGCAAATGCTTAGTCTGCGAGCTATCTTGCTGGCTCTCTTGACTTGCTATTTTATTTTAAAATATATTTATGGTACTTATAATTTCTCTAAGCTCTGAAAACACATAACAGAATAACTTACAGTAACTCAAAGTTCTTTATTTTCCAGATTAGTTTTACCAGTGGCACTTAACACAGTGTGCCTTACTTCCTTTTTGAGACCCTCATCTCAACCAAGGAATCCCTGGTTTACAGTGCCTTGGTCTTCTTCCCAATTTCAAAATCTTGTGTGTTTGAAAAATAAAATTTTTTTTCCTTGAGGGTTTTCATTTTCTCCTTGTCTTAGTCCTGATCTGCTGGGTGCTGGTATATCATTTAAAGTTTTGGTAGAGTTTTTGGATTATTTTTATGTTTGAATTATTGCAACACGGGAGCACTTAAGGTGCCTTAGTTCTTAGAATAATACTTAGATTTTTTTAAAGAAGATAAATGTACATGATGTAACATAAACAGTTTTAAATCAGCAAATATGACAAGTTTATGAACAACTATATGTGCTGATGTGTTTTAATGTCGTATAATCTCTTCCCTAAAGAGATGTTTGTAAATTGCATATAAAGCTCCAAATGCATTAAAATTTTAAATATAAATAAAACTCATAAGTGGAAAAATAAACCTTTTTATTTTTGTAATTTTTTAAAATCTTTTTTTCTGTATTTTTAGGGAAGGGTCTGCAGGGTGTTCGGGTTCTCACTACTAGATCGGGCTCATAGTGATTCTCCTGTTCACAGCCGCCCAAGAGCTGGGATTACAGATGTGCGCCGCCACACCCAGTCTGTCTCAGTGTGCCCTGGGGGCAGGGCTGGCACAGCAGGCCCCAGGGAATTGACCCCCTGGCCCCTACACCTGCTTGCAGGCATTTTAATCTGCTGAGCTATTTGCCCAGCCCTTATTTTTTTCTTTTTTGGGTGGAACCGGGGATTGGCCCTTGCGCTTGCCAGGGAAGCGCTTATTCCACTGAGCCATCTCCCTGACCCAGCCCTTATTTTTGTAATATTAATATAGGGAAGTTTTCCAAATGAACGAAATCTAGACGCATGAGAGGAATAGTTAATGCAATAGTTCTGTTTAGTCAAAGATACCATGAAGGGCCAGCCAAATAGCTCAGTGGATTAAAGCACCTGCAAGCAGGTGCAGGGGCTGGGGGATTCAATCCCCAGGCTTGCTGTGGTGGTGCCACACCTATAATCCCAGCTGTTGGGAGGCTTGTAAACAGGTGGATCGCTGAGTCTGATCTAGTAATGAGACCCAGAACACCCTGTAGATCTTTGCCTAAAATAATACAAACAAACAACAAAAAAACCCTACAAAGTTTTATCAAAGTTACCATGAATAAAATAAAAAGACAAATGTTATACTAAGGAAAGTCCTTAATAGTAAAAGAGAAAGGGATTATTGTAAAAGTTCCATGAATTAATCAAAGATAAATGAACAGATAGCAGTAAACCAAATACAGTTTACAAAATAGAAATCTAAAAAACATACAAAACCAATTTGTCTTATAATCAAATAAATTCAAAGTTAAGATATATTCCCTATTTATGTTGTCAGAGTACTGTATTAGTTAGTTCTTTCCAGAAGATACTACATGGGATATTTTAGTATCAAGGGAATTGTTTTAGAGAATTGTTTACCTGTATGTTGGAAGGTTAAATATTGAAGTAACCCAGAAATTACTAGCAACTCCATGAAGCAGTTTCCACTGCAAGGCTAAAGAGACAAAAGTGGAGAGGTAGTATACCTCTTGGGAACTGTGGAGGAATAGCCATCAGGGAGCCAGCCATTGGTATCTGAGAGGACTCGGCTGGTGAGGGAGTAGCAGAAAGTTTTGGAATGGTAGCTAGTTGTGTGCTGTGGCTGGAAGGAGGTCAACAAAAACTGAACCAGCAAGTCTCTTCCCTCATCCTCTCTACTTCCACCCTTTAGGTTGCCACCAGGAACTCCTACTGGTGGAATGTGGCCCTATCTGGCAAGGAAGCCTAGGAAATATTAATATTTGCAGACTCCCAGTGTTGCAGAGGTGTGGAACAGAAAGCAAGGTTTCTAGCCAGCATAGGTGCTGGTGGCTTGGACTGGCAGGGTGCAACATGAAGGAGGGATTTGTGTGCCTATTGGGAAGGATATGATGGTTCTAACCTTTTGGGAAGATAACTTGGTAATAATGTAAAAATTGTAAATGTGAATTCCCTGTGACCAAGTCAGTATCAAGATAATTATCCTATAGAAATGTGAGTTAAAATATGGTGTGTATATGATTTTTTAATGATATTTTATCTAATTTTGGTAATTGGAAATAGCCTAAATGTCTACTCTTGGAGGATTGACACTATATGCTATATTGTGAGAATGTGGCTATAAAAGAATTTTAACTATGTAATGGAGTATTTCATATAGCCTAATATATTTTGTCAAATCCAAGAATGACATAATTTTGAATCTAGCAAAATTTTTGTGCTGCTACAAACTTAGAGATAACAAATACAGAGATTTCATGGATTTTTTTTCTCACCAGTTATGAATGCAGGAATGAGGAAATACTTCTTACAAGCCAATGATCAGCAAGACCTAGTAGAATGGGTGAATGTCTTGAACAAAGCTATAAAAATTACAGTAAGTATTTGTATGTTTTTGATAATTCTTCAGTATATGGAAGTGATCTTTATATTTTGAAAATTTCTACTGAATGCACATTACAGCATACCAACAGGTTGTGTACCCAAGGTTTGTTTAAAAGATGTGTTGAGAATATGAAAACATTTTCTTGTACATGGTGACAATCAGCCCTTTGATCAGCCTGGGGATGGCTTTTCTACCTAGCATGCACCTAATAAGGATATACTGTATAGCACTGTGGATTTTAGCCAGTGTTTAAAAAAAAAAAAGGAGAGGGGAGATGACAGGTTTAGAAATGATATTCAGCAGTGGGGATTGGGCGTTAAGAGTGGTGAAAACAGGGGCCGGGGAGATGGCCCAGTAGAATAAGCGCTTCCCTGGCAAGCACAAGGGCCTGAGTTCAATCCCCGGTTCTGAAA